GGGTAAAGGAACCTTTTGATCCACTGACATATACTGAAACACAAGCTTCAACTTTCCAGTTCCTATCTCAAAGCATGCGTCAGCTGAGCTTGAAATGATCAGAGACAGGTGCCCAAAATGGACCTGCTGATTGCTCTAATGGAAACGGTGCCCACTACGGCTTATTTTTCACACTAACAATCGAACATTCTAGGGCAAATGTATCACAAGATTTCACACCAAATGGACTCTCCAAGCTTAAACCTCTATTCTGAAATAAAGACAAAATTAATTTGAAGTGTGTCATGACTTTATATGACTGGCACAAATGACATTAACTTGGGCATGAAAAGAAAAATTCGACCAAATAACAAAAACCAATAATAATGAGTATCTCCTCATATTTCAAGCCATCTCCCATCATGGCTCAAATTTCACTGACTGTACTTTCCCATGATTTCCCAACCCCTATTTTTTCACGTTGGCATTTCCTGGCCAAGCCTGTAACCAGACCCATTACAAACTTCTTGTGTTTTTTCCCGAGAGGTGTTGACCAAGTTATTTCCACAAAAGCGGTTTGTTAAAAAGCAGTAATCACAGATTTCTAGGGCTGAAACGACACACCCGTGTCATGACACATCTTGTGTCATGCATTCCAGAATAGTTATCATTTGTATCAATACTTTAATATTTGTATTCACATGTTGTACACAAAGCAATGCACTGCTCTAACAATCAATGTAATGCTTCAGCCGTACAAATTTTGAAGAAGGATTTAAACAGCAGGACTGTTTTATTCAAGGCTCATCAGAAGTTGAAACCAAAGACCAAAGGCATCATGCAGATCTTTCTTCAGTGACACAGTTTTTTGCCAGTGGTTGCCACTAGCTGCTAAACTAACGACAGTGCAAATGATGAGACAATGGACAACCAAAACACATGACAGAATCTGCATTACAAGCCTCTCTGTTTTTAAACACTGAGTGTATGCATGTGCAAAGTAAGACAAAATAGCCAACTGTGGTTGAAATACCTCTTCTTGTGGATTCCCATACACAGGTGCCTCGTGTTTGAAAACAATTGATCGGTTAACATATCACTGAAATTTGATTCGAAAAAACTTGATAGTTTAAAATTCCATTGGAGATTTACCTTTTCTAGAGACATCCCGGCTGTCTTGTTTGGGAACAAAGACTGAGTCGTTGCAACATCAGGGGGTGTTTCGTCTGCTGTGTCCACAGGATGGCAGAAATATGTACACAGAATCACAGTTTCCTTGTAGTTAGGCAACGTCAACTTCTGCCTGCAAAAAGGCCCCAAACAGATGTTATGTGAATGTGTCTCCTCTAAAAGGGGACAAAATACTGCCCAATGAAAGTTATTCAACTGCAAACCTTGTGACTTCAAAGATCATTTAAATTCTGCTTGGATGTTGAAGGTTTGAGGAAAGTCTTTTAAGAAAATAAATTCCTTGCAAAATTACTTTGGTTACAGCACTAACTGAACTTCTTTTGGAACGAAAAATAGATCCATTAAACAGAAACCTCATTTTGAAATGGACTTTGGGGTTTGAGGCAGATTCAACTGCATATGACAAAAAGACAATTATCTCAAATCTTCCAATTTCAGTATGATTACATACACCCAGGGGTTTAAGGTTAAATACCCCCACCCTGCATCAAACAGACAAACACTATGAAATGGTTTACAACACTGATTAATGGTTAAAATAGAGTCTAGGATAAGGTCTACAAGAATTCAAATGTACATTTCTGAAATAAAAAAACAATTAGTTCTCGCATGTTCTGCAATGAAAATGTGTTCAAAGTGAAGCCGAGAGAAACCAATTCATTTTGAAGATGCGTGATTACGAATATCTACTGGACGACACGTACATGTAAAAAATTGTGGACTTGCATTGCCTTTGTACCAAGTGAAGCAACAGGCAACTATGCTGATAATACAAAGGCAATGGTTGGCATGCTTGTCATTGTAACTATTGAGACCGTGAATGAATTTGGTTAACAATGGTGAGCAAGCCTTTGTACTATTTTTCTAATCGGCATGGTAAGATGGCAGCCAGCGGCTTCAATGACCTCTGTGAGCTTATTAAGGGCATAATAATGGCCCAAGATTTTTAATATGAAGTCTGTGCCATACAATGACTCTTACCATGGTGGATAAACTCTGATCCTTGACCCCACGCCAAGCTTAAGCTGCCTTCCATTGGCTTGGGCAAACAAAACAAGCATGTCATCATCATCGGGTGCCTCTGAGGTGAAAGGGCACATCCGGCATCTGGTCACATATAATCCTCTGGCCTCCTCAACCGAGAGGACGAGCAAATCCAGCATCAAACTCTCTGAATGAGAAGAAAATAATATGACGATCTATGTTACATTATGATTTTACATTCAACCCAACAGGGCTAGGGTAAACAGCTTCAGTATGTGTCATTGCAACGTGTAATTGTGACACAACCTGACAACATGGGTCCCAAGTCACCAGAGCCGCTTTGATTTGAACATCTTTAATAAGTCTTGTAATATTAACAGGGATCTCAACATTTTGCACACCCATTATATTCATTTTTCATGATGCCAAACTGCATGACAAATAAAAGAAGAGCAGAAATTAAGACATAATGACTGAAAGAGGAATTTCAAGACAAATTTTGTGGGATCCAGTCACAAATTCTGGTAGAAACACTGCTAACTTGGTCACGGTGAAACCTTAAGTGGAAAAGTGATCTGCTGGAAGCAAACACTTGATGGCACACTTTTCAAATTTTTCACATTGAAAACGTTGAAGTGTTAAAAGGGATTGACTACATTCCATGGGCTGCTATCTCCATATGAATTAGATATAATGAGAATATGAAAGTTATAATATGGCTACCATAACATGGCCACTGCGAACATTTAAAGGATTTCCAAAGTTATTAGTACATGTAAGGGAATAAACACATACTGAAACGTACGTTTAAGACCGGCTCAGGAGAATGGACAACTGCCCAAGCTGTAGGCAATGGTATTATCAATGTCCAGTCTCCTGAAAGTCGCTATTCACTATTATTATATCTAATACATCTAGCAGTAGCTCTCCAAGAACACATTTATTCTCATTCACAAATACCTTTTAAGTCAGATAGTCAGAAGAAGTCAATATATAATCTGATAATGGATTTCCCATGATTTTGATCTGGAATTTTACTTTCCTTTTCCCATCCATTGTATGGAATATTCCTTGTGCAAATTGTCCAATTGGCACGAGCATGGCGAGCCGCGTGCACACAGACTCTTGACCAATCAGAATCAATTCAACTATCTTGTACCCAGGCGCCAGTGCGTGATTTACGCAGCGGGCGTTATCACTTCTCAGCAAGCATTACCAAATGTTAATGTCAAGTTGCACGTTGATGAATAGGGAGACTGTCTGAGGTATATATGAATGTCATACAGCACATAGATTCCATGACATTCCAAGTTCTTACGAGATGTTGCGGTGTCCACTGTGCGGTGAGCCCAAAAAGCCATGGCCGATTTCTCCCTGTTGATGACCCTCTGTAACCCTTCGGCTAGTCCACCCCTACAAGGAAAAAAGCGGTGGTTGTCCAAGACTGAGGTACATGTTTTAATTAATCTAACGCAAGCAGATTCCATGTGATTTACAATGTTCCTTTTTAGTTTCTTTCTTTCTCCATCCTGCAAGTTCTTCTACATTCTGATGAAAAATGATATTATACATAAACGAAAACAAAAACTGCGACTCTATTTTTATTGGTTCCTGCAATTTTTTACTTCACAGGATGTCGCCGGCTCTGGAAACAATGGACTCTCTACAGGAACACGAGACAGCAGTGAATTTCTGGAGATTCCCAAACCATCCACCCCCGGGAAGAAAAAATACATTTTGTAGCAATGCCTACAAAGCTTCACAACAGGTCTGTGATTTTCTTCCCAGGTTTTGACAACTTTTTTCCCGAAAATCCCATCTTGAATCACTGGTCCCGTTCTCCAATGTGACCTGCTGTTTCATGGCTTTTGCCTCCTGGTAATATGGTTTGGAGTTCAATCCCAGCAACTGCTTCAATGGTGTGCATCCCCCCTGTACAGAACTTGTCTCTCTCCACCCAGGAGTATAAATGAGTACATGCAAAGACAGAGGATGGATGTGTGCCTGTACCACCTGCTACAAAACTGACTTCATGGCCAAGTTGAAAAGGTTAATAATAGTAAAGTCCTTTGAGATTATTGGTACATGTATGACAGAAATTAATATACAAGCATTGTAACACCTTATCCACAGATTCTGTGTCTTTAGTGGCCAAGAGCTAATTACATGGCATTCACTTTTTTACTATCTTGCTGAGCATGGACAAACGTACATGTATTGTACGTATCCCATAGCTAACAAAGTATTATTGCCCTAATTAAGTAACATCCTTATCATACAACCAGTGTTATTATTATAATCCCAAGTGCCAGTAATACGGAGCTAGGTTAACACATATTTATGAACAGGTATATAGGAAAAGTGTCAACAAGGTTTCAACCAATTTGGTATTCCAAAATACAAACATCTCAATTATATTATTACTTCAATCAAGCAGAATCAGTGGGAGAAGTGTTATAGAGAAAATATTGACTAGTTTATATCATGGTGTAGTAAAACTACTCTCCCCCGGTGATACATGAAGCAAAGCCTGGGGATGAAATAATAGCATGCTTCATAGAGCACTGAGGGAAGAGAGTTTTACTGCACCACAATATACATGTAACACAGTCACTATTTGTTATAGTATCCAAAACTTCCAGTCCAGAGCCCCATCTACAATACTGTTGGTCCTCCGATTCTCACCTCACAAACTTTCTCTTCTTCTTGGTCGAGTCGCCGCCCCCACTCGGCCCTCCCACCCCAGCCTCTTTGTCTGGAGTCCTGGCAGGGAGTTTGAGCTTCTTCAACAGTTCCGTGCCGGTCCGAGGGCTCTCCTTGTCGGGACTCTGGCAGGGCGACGGCTGAGGGGTAGGGGACTGGTCGGAGATGTGCAGGGAACTGGACGCCTTGAAAGCAACAATCAGTAGTACAAAAGTGGAGTGAACTTGAAATTGTGACCAAAGAACAGAGGCTGGAAACAATCCAACAAAAGTGTGGACACTTTTTAGTCCGTGCTGACTTTCACAGGACGTTAGTGAAATATTTATTTTGTTTATTTTTACCTCCATGTACGTACATACAACACACACTGTACAGGTTTTATCTCAGCATTATCTTCTTGCGTGTTCCACTGAACAGACCATGGGAAATCAGGGTTCAATGACACTTGAAAAGTTATACATGATGAATGGGGTTTTCACCAACACGGAAAATGGCAATGCCTTTTTTCATTTGATTTTAGAAATGAATCAAAGTATCATCGGATCTTCATTTTGAGCTGAGAGGGACCTATTAGAGGTGAAGGAAACCAACAACACTTGTTTGCCTCAAACAGGTATGAGACAAACAAACAGGTGCCTTTTACAAGGTTGAAAAGATGCTTTGTCATCACATGATACACTCTACACATGACACAAATAATGTTCAAGGCAGCATTAGCGTGACACAAACAATTCAACATTCAATTTAACAAACTCGGCATTTCACAGTTCCAAACCAAAAAAATTAAAATCCACGATTCAATTAATCTACGGCAAATGACAAAGGAATGATATGTAGAATCTCCATTCACAGAAACAAGAAACTGGAATTTGTTTTTAACTTGATGTGTTTACAATCTTCAAAAGAGACTGAAATCCGATTTTCTCTTTAAAATATTAGAAATCTCTGCTCATCAGCTAGATCCAAAGGACAGAAAGATTTTTGACAGGATGAACCTGTTAAGAAATTCCAAAGGGAAATGGATTCTCATACCTGCTGAGAACTAGACGCGGCAGTGCCTTGCTCCTCTGATGGCGAATCATAGTCAGAAATGACAATCTGGGTGGACTGAAAATGATATGTTTTGAGTGTACTCATGTGTGCTTTGAGTAGAAAATTGTCTTAATTCATCCTTCTTTCATTGGCTTTTTTGCCCCATTTGTACTCTGCACAAGCGCTGGCTGATTCAGAGGGAATTATAGTCAGGCCTCCTTATGCTCAAATACAGCACTGTGCAAAATGCACTTGAGTTGTGTCTAGGCTAAGCACTTTGCTCAATTAAAAAACCTGCAGAGGCATGATTCAGAAGGTAATGAATTTTTATTAAGCATTTCTGGTAAACAAAACCAAAGATTCTACAAACAAACCCAACAGTGTGGCTGATAAGCCTCAAAACTGCAGAGAAACGACAAGCAGCAGTAACAATTTAATTCGGAGTAAGATGCACAGAATCAGGTAATGACTGAAAACCAAATCAAAGTGGACTGAGCCGGGAATTTAACCCAAGCAACACAGCAGAAAGGTGAGGTAAGAACTACCTGTACATTGTCAACCTGATCAGATGTCATGTCAGCAGCCAAAAAAAACTACTGTAGCATGCACGATGAAACTATAAGGCTAGACTCCAAGCATCAAGATTGAATTTTCCTCTTTAAGATACCCGAGTTGCTTTGACAATACCTTTCTGTCTTCTGATGAGGAGGCCTCATCTTTATTTTTAGAGGATGAAGAAGATTTCATCATCCAGCTTCCGAGTACACTTCCCCCCAAATTCTCCTCCTCTTCATCCATGATGTCTACATCTTCACCCTCTAACAACCCCCTGAACCTCATAGGCCCTTGGTTGACCCGACGTCTCGAAGACCCATAGCTCTTCTTCCTTTTGAGATGCTTCCTTGGGCCACTTCGGGATGCCTCCTGATGGGGAAGGGGCTCCGCATCGGAAAGATTGTCGCTGCTGGAGCTCCAGTCAATATCTAATGATCCTTGCTCATCTACGACACAATCAAAAGGAAATGAAGACATTCAAGAAGAGAAATGAATAGAAGAGCATACCTTTTTTGTTTTTACTTGATGCAATAACAGGAGGTAAAAGAGTCTTTCATAGGTTACCAGGCCATTCCATGCTCTTATATGCACTTCTGGGTAAGTCTTAATTTTTGAGCCTTGCTTCAATTCTCTTCAATGTATGTGCAAAAACTCAATGATATATCTTTTTGGGGTTAAGTGTAATTGCAAAATGCACACCACAACATACGCATTAAAATGTGCTAAAGCAGGGATTTTTTTAAGAAGGCCACTTTCTAACATGATCAATAAAAATGATATACATGAATTTCAGATTTCTTAAAATCTTACCAACTGCAACTGATTCCAAGCCCATCTTCTTGGATCGTTTCCTCTTCTGGTACTTCACCCTTGTCCTCTCTTCCGTGCCCCAGTCCACACCCTGAAACTCTGCCTGGCAACGCCCCCAGCCTTGATCAGACAGGGGCTGTGCTGTCACATGCCTCATCTTGTTCAGCATGCCGGAATTGGTAAGCCCAGCTCAATGACTGTATGTATGGGTAGAATTGTGCTCTTTATTGGTGGCTGAAAACAAATTTGACAAATGCCTGTTAGTTAAGTCATATTTATTCTCTAACTTACTTGCAGTCTTTCCCACCCATGTACCGTATTAACTGGCTTCTGAGATCACTTTCATATAGACACTGTGTGATCTAGCTATTTGACCAAAGGACAGGTGGCCAGATCAAGTGTTTCAAAAATCCAAGTCACACCGCTGTGTAAACCTTTTACATGTCAATCCTAACTATCAAGCACAACTGAAGTATAGCATCAAAATGAGTTTCACAAACCTCGCTTTGAGTGAACAGACATTTTTAACATTGCCTGGAAAATAACAACCCTATATGCAACCCTATTTTCAATCCTACTTGAAATCCTGCTTGTGCATGCACACGGATTATTTGGAAGATGCCAGGAGGGGAAAATGTCTGACTGTGACCAAGCGAGACTCTCAACTCCCATTTTATATTTCAAACAAAGCGTTGGGGTCCAAATATCATTATTATGGAATCACAGATTGCTATTGATTCCCCTTTCCAAAGTTTAGGATTCCCATAAAGTAAGATTCAGCAAACATGCTGCAACAATTTCGGAAATGTTCTGCCACAGTCTCCAGACAGATCTGCTTTAACCACAATCTTCATCTAAATTATTTGGAAAAGGAAGAAGTGTTACGTGTTAGTAACTATGTTACAGAGGATTCTTTTGATTTAATGTACTATAGGCCTTGTTTAGTTTCAAACTTAAAAACAAAAACACCATGCTCAATGTGCAACTCTACTTTTGACTAGAAAATGCAGCAAGGATCAAATCTGCTCAATACTACTTCAGCAGCACCAACAATGTCATGAACGTGTCAGCCATTGAATTTTGACAAAATAGTTCTGGCTCCCACTGTCAGACTAGTACATGCATACATGTACATGTAGGCCCACTGCTTCCCTGCAACAGTTTATTTAGATCTGGCAGTTTATTCAGATGGGAAATTCCATTAAAAAATGTTCACTTCAGTGAAAAAATAATGTTTCAATTTGCACTTAAATATTCCTAAAAAGTAATGTGTAAATTTTCATTTACAAATCATAATGATAACATTTGGTATTTTTTACACTAGTGAAAATACTGTAAAATGTAAAGTAATAATACAGAAACATGGCTGTTTTTGAAGAGTTTATTCTTACCATCTCCAAAGAAGGCCAAAAATGTCCTAGAGGTCTCATTCAACTTTTAAACAGTAGTTCAGTGTATATATCAATGAAAAGTCACAATGGATTTTTATGTTATTCATCAATTTTTGAGCCATTGTGATTTCTTTAACATCAGAAGAATCATGTCCGGTACATTTTTGGCTACACGTTTCCATAGCCAACAATGAACTTTGTATGAAGTTACTGAAATCTCCTTACATGTGTAGCAGCCAGTATTCCTTACCACTTCTAGTTTTCATACAAATGGTGTACTAGGCATGACAATTTGCATAATGGATGTAACACCTTTTATAAGACAAGTGGCAGAAACAACATTGTGGCTCAGTGAGACAGATTGATGATCAGTTTCTACTGCTTGAGGATAGCGAGATATTTCTACATGCTTATAGTAACTCATAAATATAAAATCTGCATGCTATTTAAGAAACAAAAACAACCAGAATTTCCATTTTACCCATGGCCCTTACATGTACATAATCCCACTCCAACCAAGAGGTACCCTAAGCATTGCATTCCATGTATTTTAGTATAGCTGTTACATGTAGCTAACTAAAACCTACATAAAGAACTTGAGATGTTTTGTTCAAGAAGATTAGGTAGTAGTACTGTGCTGTTACTTTTATCTTTTTTTTCTTTGAAGCAAAGAAATGAAAATATGGTTCTCTTTACAAGGGTGTTATGTCCATTACGCTAGTGTATAAATACTTTCTGTCAAATAGGAAGCCATAAAGAAAAAAGTCACAGCAATAATAACTGACAATGTGTTCTGTTTTGGTATCATGGGTGAGAGTACATGTAAGTGGAAATTTCTCATTAACTGTAGCTACATGTACATGTAGTTGGTGAAGAAGCAAGTTTGCTTTATATATTTTAGGGGGGGAAAATATTGAAAAACAACCCCTCTGAAAGAACAAAAATGTATATGAGGTATTACAGAATACCAGTTACGATGTGTGTTGATGATCTTTTAACCTTGCTGTGAAAACAATAAAATATCTGCCATACCTTGTAATAGAAAAAATGATTCTCAACACAATGTCAATCTCATTTCTCTATCACTGAAATGACTGTGTCAAAATGAATAAAATGTCGTGTCCAGCAATAGACCAACCCCCAGAACTGTCATGACTGTGGGGTCCAACGAACGGGGCAGCGCAGACCCCATAGTTCTGATGGTACAATAGACCCCCTGCGCATGACGTCAAACACTGTCAAACAGACATGTTAGATTGCATTCGTTGTCATGATTGTCAAGCGGGTCACTAAATCTATGTCCTTTAGGACATGTTTTGGGCACTCAGTGCAGGTTCTCTGGCCTAGTTTTAGACCATGTCTAGGCCTAGGGCCTATAGCCCCCCCCGTTCTTAATATTTTTTTTTATTAATCTGTGAATGTTGATGACTTGTTACTGTAGGCATGGAGGTAGATTCTACCTCCATGCTGTAGGTAAAAACGCATGTTTGACAATTAGGGCGGACCAGTTACCCTTATTAATCATAACACAGAAAACACAGAGGAACTTTGTTTCCTACACAAGAATGACTGTCTCCAACTTGTATGGTCGGCCTACGAGTTCTGTTCTTAAGTTCCAAGTTCCGGACTCATCACACATCCATGACATCTACACATGGGCGCGGCCATTTTGAATGTGAAGCATCATGGGAAATGCGCCACCAGTGGAATTCCCCGAGGCTAAAGTTGCAACACATAATTTTCCGGAATGTACAGTACATGTAGAATAGAAAACGGAATGCGCAACTAAACACGGTAAGGACTCTAAAACTTTAGGGTGTCCTTTTTTTTCCTTTGTCAAGTTTTCTTTGTGAAGTTTAATCGTTAGATTTTTGGTGACACAGTGCATGCGCAGTTCAATTCTTTCTCGAGATACTTTACGCGCCTACGTCTCTGCTCTTTAAGTTCCTGTAGGCAAAGAAGTCGTGTTAGCCCGTGCGTTACAAATCGTTTACCCAAACGTCGGGAAATAAATGGATAACTCTTTCAATACTAGCTCTAGTGGCTCACTGAGCGGCAGTCACCACAGTGATCACGCCAATGCTTCTCAGATATTAAAAGAGCTCCTTAACGTGGGGAAACCTATGCATCAAGGTGAAGTAACGCTGAATAGAACGTTAGGCCCACATGTGTCGTTTGTTGTATTTCAATACCAAGGCTAGCCCTATTTGTAATCCTGTACATGCTGAATGGGGACCGGAGAGCGTGCATGGTGAAGTAAAGGGCTTTCCCGAGTTCCATTTCTGCCTCATTGGCCTTGGGGTGGGGTTTACTGGACTACTGCTCAGTGGGAATGTGTTCAGATGCTGATCTTATTATTTCATATCATTCATGAATGGAAACATGCATTCTAGCGTCAAGCATAGGCCTATGGTTCTAGGGAACAGTGGTCAGGAGGTGTTCCTGTTGTGTTCTCCATGCGCTCCACCATGATGATTTCTGTAGTGTCTTTGGATGAAGGCCCTATCATGCCTGTAGTGTTAACTTAAGTGTGATGTTTACTACGGTGCTGAATGCCAAAGCAGTATTATTTCTATTATTAGGTTTTGTGCTGTTTTTCTTTTGGGACATAATCTTGGGGAACATTCTACATTTAAGTATCGCATCAACGAGTAATTGTCAAGTCTGAAAACAAGGAAGCCTTGCGTAGTAATAATGCCACCTTCCCCATTACACAGCCTAGTGTATTGTGTGCTGTTCATGTACTGCACTGCTTTTGCTTTTGTTCAGTTCTGGAGATTTACATACATACACGTACATGTATGTTTGAAAATGTGTGCAGATAATGTCCCAGATTTACTGAATCATAATTAATATGGTATGAGGACAAATGCCTCGCTTCAGATATTAACAAGGATGCTGTGTAAGTTTACTTACAGAGAATACTGTATGTTTGTGCGATGGCTCTAACATTTATGACTAATAAAGAAACCAAACTTGTTTGCTCAGCAGTCATGAACAGGCTTCCGACAAGGAACACACGCTTTCCCTGATATCAGTGTTGCCAGAAATGGAACGTTCCGTTTGAGAAAATTCAGCGCAAAGATTGTTCCAAAAGGAACATTCCAAGTGATCAAAAATCTGTATTTTTGGGGGGGCAATTAACTTGTCAAACTTTTTTCCCACGTAGGCTGGCGAGAACATGGACATGTACACCATGTACATGTACACATTGCAGTTAGTACAGTGCCCCCCAAGGTTTAATGTAGGGTGTGAGTCTAGGTAGTGCACATGTACATGTACATAGGCTAAGACAATGAAAGGGTTAGATATAAACAGCATGTAAATTTAACAAATAAAAAGGATGCTCATGGTAAACTCTTTAATCTACTCTCAAAAAGACAATCCTTTCATTTTCTAATAACTAAGATTACCAAAATGGCTTAGTGTTTACATTTAAAGATTTCTCAAATGGGTACATGTGCAATGTACATGTAGCGATAGAAGGTGTTGGACTATTTTCTCGATTGTGTCTTACATGTTTGCTTGACATTTTACTCAAGACTTGTTTCACTCTCAGTATTTGCACTGGAGAAAGAGTTTGGTAGGATCAGGCTCTAACCACATTATTAACCCTAACGCTCCTCAGTCCTCCAGCAGGTGAAGGATTTAGGAGGGTTAGGGTTAAAGTTCAAATTTTTCTGGCAGAATTGTGTGGTTAGAACATTCTGTGTGTGTGCGGTCCTAGAATATTGAACAATTTTTTCATCAGTGGTAAAATGTCACGCACCTTACATGTACCTTGATGTTTTTTGGATTTGGTCATTTGTACAGCTTACAGTTCAACCAGCAGCATGGACGGGAATGCTGAAAAGTAAGTACAAATTGATAAAAAATGGTAATATTTAGAATAAACTTGCTGCAAAATGCAGTGGAATCTGATGGTGCTTATTGTGTGCTGTACCAGGGTATGGTGTATGGGTACATGTACATGCCATATATAGTTCTGCATGTACAGTAACCAGAACCAGCATTCAGTCGATACACAGCAAAATACAATACATACAGTGTACTGTACACTGTGTGTACTGTAAGTTGCAGTCAGCATTGTCTCTCATATGTACATGGAGGCCTACATGTAATTGTTTGATTTTGTTGTCTTTAGAATAGTGCCAAAGAAAGAAAAAACAAACTGATTGGAAAGGAAATCATTTACAGAGACGCTGTGTAGTGTGCATTGTAGTTTTACTGTATTTTTTTCTCTTTTATCTCAGTAATCCAGATCCACAGGATGCAATATCCAAGGTATGCAACTTGTTCAGCCTTAAAGTGATATCGCAGTTGATTATTCATTCTTTTTTCTGTACCCTGCAGAATAGTGGCAGTATTATGATACGAAGCCCATGTGTGCTAGCCCAATGATGCATGCACTTCATTGTTTTTGTAAATTTGTTGATAGTCCAGTGATAGCTAATCCTATAAACCCTATTATCTTGTGTGTGAAATCGGAGATAATTCTGAATTACACTGTACATGTACTGAAGGAAATTTCTTTGCAATCCTGGATTGCCAATTTCAGTCTGAATTGATACATGTACATGTAGTGTTGATAAAAGATTTGATCCGTTGAAGTATTGCTTTTTAGTGCTCATTTTTGATTGGACAGTGATATCATGCCGAAACCGTCAGAGAAGGAAGAAAGTGATCAGATTACTCCCTTTCTTGTCCAGAATGGATCCCCCTTTCCTTTTTTTTTTAAGGCGAACCATGCCTGTGCTTGTTTCTTCTCGCTCTGTGTCCATGACAACTTCAGTCTCTTACTTTGGGTTTCTTTTGCCGGGAAGCTGTCACAAAATTTCAAATCCAACGCCATTTAGTAAACACGCGCAATGTTCTTCTGTTTCTGAAACAGCACAGCTTGGCATTACAGTGTTAAGTGTGCTCCATATGAATCACTGAATCTGAAATCCAAGGGCTACAAAATCGTGCATTACATTTGTGTGCATGGAATATGCTAATCAGTGGTTCCTTCATGTACAGCATGTATTTCTAACAACCTTGTATTGCATTTTATTCCGTTATCCAGGATTTTATCCAGGCAGGAGGTGACTCTGCAGCTCCCTTGAATTTAAGAGACACTGTCCGGCAAACCATGTAAGTACTGAAGCAGTGGGGACCGCCCCCTTCATCATCTTATTCTCTCCTCTTTCCCATCTCTTATCAAATGTTAACATCATCCTGCTAAATCCCTTCCCCGCCCCCTAAATACGTACAGTGTACACATGTGTAGGTTCATAAGCACTCTCTCAAGTATTATAAATATCCTTAATCTTAAACCGTCTTCATTCTTCCAATAGCTTACCTGTACATATGCGCACCATGCCTTCACCAAGGGAAACCTTTGCTATTCAAATCTAGTGACAGAGACTATGTAAACAGAATACCAAGAATGGAGTTCTGCAGCCTTGAAGGGTCCATCCAATGCATTTATTTCTACAATTCTTGAAGATGCGTAATAATGTGTCTCAGCCTTACTTCAGTTTTGTTTTGCTATTTTCTAGGGTATTGTGGTCCCCTTTTGGTTTTATTCCGATGAGTGTTTCCATATTCGGGAGCTAACCTATGATCTCATCCCAGAAGGAACACCTCAGTGTTACGCTTTGTGAATGAAAAATTGGAATTTTGTATACATAGGTGTATCTGTATTTTGCTGGCCTAAATTATCTATGGTGACTGATTATTGTGTAAATTTGGCAATCCAGTAATGTGCAGTGCTTTCTCGGAAATGTTTTCAATTTTGGTTTCATAATTTTAAAACAAAAAGGCATAAAATGATCAGTGTCTTTCCCGATTGAAAGACAGCAACAGGGCCCTCAGTTGTCCAATGTGTTGGAAAAAAGTGTGGACAGTTTTTAAGTGTTTAAAAAAGTGCACTTTTCAATACACGCATTCCAAAAGGGATTTAAAATATTCCTGATACAAGGAAGAAGAGTGTAAATATCTGCAAAATGCATGTGTGAGAAAATTTCATAAGCTTTTTGCAAATTAACTTTGACCTAAATCTGGTTGTTTAAATTCATGTGAACAAAACAACTTGAATTCTCCTTACTAAAACCACCGTTGCTATACGTTGTGAATCGGGGCAAGCTTTTGCTTGGTTACATAAGAGATGCCTTGCAACAAGACACTGTTCTCAATGGATAAGAAGGGCACAAAGCATCAGTCTATTCCAGAGATGGTGGTCGCTATGCTCAAGCTTGCCCTGAATCATGAGGTATAGCAACAGTGTCTTTAGTCTGGGGAATTCAAATTGTAATGTTTATGTGCAGTCAGATAACTCAGTGCACCAGATTTTATTCAAATTTATCTTGCAAATGGCTTATTGCTACCCCAGTAGAATCCTTTAACCTTAACCCTTAAATTAAAGAACCGTGGGGGGGACTGATATTTTTTCTGACATTGCCGCAGTGCACTGCTTTTCCGGAGTTGAGTCTTTGGGACTTTTTAGAGTAACACTTTCTGAAGTCAGTTTGACACCAATTTGGGGAAAATCAAACGTACCATTGAGTGAGGCACAGCCGATTCTTGGAGGTGGTCGAACCTCCCCCCCTTCCACATGGGAGATGGCAAAAATAACCTGGTGCTTTTAGGGTTAACCCTCAAATACGTTAAAAGTTTTTACCCACTTTAAAATGTCAACAAAGATTTGCTTTATTGCTTCAGTATATTAGACTTTAACCTTAACACCTTGGGTATGTCAAAAACATATGGAAGTATGTAGTTCTTAGCCAGTTAGTTCTTCATTTCCAGTGAGCTGGTTGGAAATGACCAGAGTGGGTCGGTGCCAGTGTATGGCCGTGAGGTCAGTGTCATTCCCAGCGAAGCCTCCAAGAGGGACAGCCGAGCACCAGGGAGTAGCAAAGTGAGTTGGGCAATGGTTATTCAACCTCTCAAAACCCTCCCAGATCCTACAGAAGCCCAACCAGAAGGTCCGTAGAGCCCGGCCACCAATACTGTACATGGGATGCAATGCAGTGTAGGAGATCTTGCAGACTTTTGTTTGAAAGATTGTCCTTGCGCAGGCATCAAGGGTAACTTGGTATAGCCAGAAGTGGTATTCACATGTCAGTCCACCCTCTCAGTGTCTCCAGTCAGATGTACTGGCATGCAGAGCTTGTACAGACAACCACAGATATTACAATCATAAAGGAGCGTTTCATAATTGTTGAAGGCGGTATTTGCTGCGGTACCGGTTTTTTTAGCGGCACCGCACTAGTTACCCGAAAGGGCTTAATGCTGGTACTGCAAAAATACAGCGGTACGGCAGTAAATACCGCCTTCTGTAATTATGAAACATTCCCAAACTGTGCTGACTATTACATGTTTCTCAATTACTACCATACACTTCACAGGCACTGCAAATACAACCATACCATTTGCTATACTCATAAGAACAACAACTGGACTCCAAGAGTGCCATTGTGATTACAACTATAATAATCAAAATCTTCATTATCTGTGATCACGGTTTCGGAATTAGTAAGCGAGACAAAAAAGTTTTTCTTCACCTGGTCTGTTTACTTTTAAAGGAACAAAATTCTTTTCACAGGTCAAAATCACACCAGTGGTGAAATATGACTGGGAACACAAATACTACGTGGGCAACCTTGTGGCAGTCAACCAAATCTATCTGGTGTACGTTCTGAAAAGTAAGTCAGAAAACTTTTTCAAATCTGTCAGAAAAGATTACTATTAATCTGATAGGAGAATTACAGAATGAACATGAATCAGTATTTCCATCACTCATGAGTGTCACAAACATAAAAGGGGGTTATTACCCAGACATGAACTGGATTCAGACCGATCACACAGTATGAGGGAATACAGAATTTACCAGTAAATCCCCAAAACCTGGAAATCAGAAAAGTTTCAACACATTAGTGACAGCTTAAGGAAGCAGAATTCTTCTCCAATGCAAAGAAATTCTGACATCACATCCTAAAACCCCTCTTCCAGATTTTGGCTTTGCCACATTAATCAGGCAAATAACTTTTGTCAGCTATTTTCTTTTCAGTTCAGAGTGGGTATGGATTGCGCATACTGGACAGGCGCACCTCTGTGAGGGCGCTGTTGAAAGGCTTTGAGGACATCATCACAGATGTCGCCTTTGCCCACCACCAGTCCAATGTTCTGGGCTGTATCGACAGGCTGGGGAACATGACTGTCTGGCAAATTCTCGATGTGGACGGCAAAATCGCGTATCCTTATAAGTCATACCAACTTTCCATGCGAAGTTCTATATGTCACAGAGTTTACGTGAACCCTTTGAACCCATTCGTACATTAAACAGCCATTTTTTAGTTAAATGTTATCTAATGCTGCTTGAGCAGTGGCTGGTACCAAAATTCATGGATAAATTGATGTGTTTATGCCGAGCCATGTAGTTACATGTTTAACCCCTTCGCGCCGGTAATTCTTTTGACCGTGACTGCTGGGCTGTGGTATGCCCTGAATGGAGGGCTTTGTCCATCGGCAGGCCCATTGAACCAGCAGCTGCATGGTGAATAGACTGTATGTGTGGTATGCACTAATCCTCATGCAAAGCCACGCCTGTCAACGGTTCCAGTGCAAAGGGGTTAATGTGGATAGGTCAGATTTAGAGTATTTTATTACCTTAAGCAGCACAACCATAGTGTGTTTGTATTGCATAATTTATTATGGGAGAGTAAAGATCCTCCAGCCTCACCCTATGTTTTTAAATCACTGCTTCGATGCTTTCTTTGTCATGGTAGGCAACACTTCAGTGTTCAGTACATGTCTGTAACGACGTTTAGACTTAGCGGTCATAGATTCTGAACTGATGTGAGTTTCATTTGTCGTTCTGGTTGTCATGCAAGGTGTAATTAGTTGCCTTCCTAAAAGCTCTGAGTGACACGGTCTTGTCTGTTAAGAGATGGCCTTTTTTTATTGACTGCAAAGACTTTTGGTTGACTCGTCTACGACGCTGAAAGAATTCCTTGACCGAACTTTGCAGGCCCAATTCAAAGCTAAAGGTGATGCGACCGCCCGGCACACACCCCACCGACTACCACCGGCTAGTCTGGTGCCCCTACCTGCCTGACGACCCCACCGCTAGTGACAGCAGCTCCATCAGTGACGAGAACAGCCGTCTACTGGCTGTCACCCACGAAGAGAGGGTGAGAGAAAAAAAGTGGAAGGGGAGGGGCATGGGGAATGTTATTTGATTTCATTGGTCATAAAATGCAGATCACTGGGAAAGGCTCTTTACCACACTTGGATCTGACTAGCAGGGTGTGCAAATTTGCCTGTATAATGCAGACTTATCCTGTCATCCACCAAAACATTCCAGCACAAGCAATGTTCAATGAAACCAGCTCTTGTAGGTCTCAAAATTGGCAGGCCATGCCGTTGATGACTGTCGATGTAGTTAAGGTCCTGCCGCTCGGTGCATTATATATGCCACAATTGCATTGTGCAGGGATAATGAAATTCTGCATGTTGTGCACAGATAACTTTGCTCCATGGATTTTCTTTCTCCTCATGGAGAATCAGAAACTCAACACATCTTGCTCTTTGTTCTCAGGCTGAGTTTTGGGATTTGGATGTTGTGATAGAACTGTTTGGCAACGTTGTGAATGCAGACAGCGTAACGGATGGTGTCATTCGAATTTGCAGTGGACACACAAAGGTAGGGATTAATTCGGTGACTTGGAATGGAAGCCATTAGTTGGCATTAATGTGGCACTGTGTGTGAGCAGGTGGTGTGCACGTGTTGGTTGTCTCATCAATCAGTAGGATTCATGACTTGCTGAAGTGCACATGTGTCAGATTGAAGAATGCGCCCCCACAAGTGTGGTATGCTGTCACATCTAGATTTAAAATGACATTTTTTTAAGCTGCAGTATGTAGGGAACATGCTGTAATCCACCTAGAACAGAAGTGGTCACTGACAAGAGCCATGTTGCTGGGGAGTGCTCATTTTGATGGTAGTGATGGGACCATGACGCGTACATTTCGTAGTCATTTGTGAACTAGCAAGTGTTGCCTGGAAAAGTATGCCCTCTTTTTGGTCCGGCTTGGGGCTCATTGGTGGGTCATAACTACGCTTTAGACAAACAGTTGCACATTTCTAAAAGCACTGACATATGGTGAATGCCGTATGTGGTACCTACAGCCCATCACCGATCTGTCTGTAGCCCCTGACGGGCAGGTCCTTGCCACGGCCAGTGAGGATGGCACGGTGAAGTTCTGGCAGATGGACATGGCTGCCCCGGACCAGGCTCCTGCACGTCTGCACCGATTCTCCCCCCACGATGGCCGGCCACTGTCCTCATTGATCTTCTGTGACAACCACAAGTACCAGGACCCAGAGTGAGTCATGGAAGCCTTTCATTTCACGGACCTCGTCCATGGGGACGCCATGGGGACGCCATTTTAGATCATGGCCCCTATATCTGTTTTAAATACTATTGAATGGATTTGTGCCAGGCTATTTCATGGAGTGCATACTAAGCTGCTCTATCTTTTTCTTTTTAAATGTGGCTTAAAATATTCAAAGGCATGCTTAATTGCAATTTTCACAGTTTGCATCAGAATGGACAACTATCAGTTTGTAACGAAATTTCTCTTGAGCACTCTCATTTTAACTGTTGAGCATGCTAGAACCACCTGCGTCATCATTTTTGTAAATCCTACCACCACTCATGTCTTGCTTGTGGTCGACACTCTCCCAGCATTCACAGTTTCTGTCATCTTGTGCATTTATTTTCAGGTCAAGATTCACTTTACACTAACTTCAATACAAAAAGGCAAAAAAAAATTTCCAAAATGGTAGACTAGCTAGTCCGAGCATCAGTTGTTCAAGTGAAATTGGTCAAGCTATAACTACAGTAACTACAGCTGGCAATCACATACCTTGTTTATCATTATGCATAGATAATGTAGCTTGCTATCAATTAACCTGTGCACACTTGTTGCACAGTTTTCTTTGAAAGTGACAGGCGATCAGGTGCTTGTTTTCATGAGTCTTCCATTGGAAAAAATCTACCTCAAAGAAACATCTCTGGCTTTGCTTCAATTTTGTTATATTCCCTACCGCACAGCCTCCCCTTCTGGAGGTTCCTGATCACGGGGGCCTGCGCCAATCGTGAGCTGATGATGTGGTGCACCGTCACCTGGACCTGCCTGCAGAAGATCAGCTTCACCCGGCCCGGCCTCCTCCCCGAACCCTTCCTGAAGATCAAGCTGGACCTGTCGGCCAGCTTCCTGATCGCGACAGACATCACTAGAAAGGTCAGAGTTTCAAGGCCATGTTGGGGGCAGTTTGCTCATCAGTTCTATCCAATCTCCTGGAGAGGAATCGCCTGGTCATGGTTATGTAGCGTGTTGTTGATGTTACTTGCAGAACTTGGATAAGTATTTGTAATCTAAGGGCAGGTTGGAATTTGTTTGGAAGATCTCAAAGGCGGACTCATATTATTGTCATGTAGCTTTTTTAAACTGATGCTCTGGGCCAGATGTCTTGTGCCAAGTTTTCAAATTAACTCATATCATAAAGTGACAGCTACATGTAAGCTTTGTCTAAGTCAACTGCGTATTCATGCCCCCAATCTTGTAACAGAGCATGTTCAAAACTTGCCCTCTCACTTGAATTAGCTTGGAAGTGTAAAATAAGAGGAAGACTGGATGACAGTGATGAATTTAAACACTTGTCTTCTTTCAACAACTTTGTAAAGGACACTACCATGCATGTTTGAAATGAGGATTTCATTTTCCAAGGAAAATACAACCAACAGAATTGAAAATCTCCAAATTTAGGTGCAATCCTCAGGCTAGATTCCAAGATATTTTGCACGCGTTTTAAAACTCTTCTTTTTTCGGTGACACCCACCAGCTGCTTATCTCTACTCCTCCCAACAGGTCCTGTATGTCCTTCAGGTACACCAGGACCACAGTGAAGGCCATGCCCACATGAGTTCCATCACCGAGTTTCTGCTGACCCAGCCCACCCTCAGCTTCGCCATCGTGGACGCGGGCAAATGCCGCCTGAAGCCACTCCTTGAGGAGGGGGAAGAGGGGGAGGAGCTCAACTCAGGTGGGTGTGGTGTTCTGGTCGACAGAGAGAGAGATACATTACCCGACTGAGAAGGGTTGGACCATTCCCAATTGGGGACTGGCTCTGGATGTTTCATCGGACCTTAACTCACTGGAAGCCATTTTAGTCAGTGCAATCTGAGGGTTCCTAATGCCCCAAAATATACTGGCTCCCTGCGGAAGTTGCATTTCAAACAACTTGCACCAACAAAATTGAACTTGTGCTATTTTGTCCCCGCTGTTCAAGTCCATTTACGTGTTTGTCCACTGTCTGACTACGAATGCATACCCCCAACATTAGACAAAGGTGCTGCGGATTCAGTTTGGGATGCCGGTGGCTTAATTCTAAGGAAACAAAGCGGAATTGTGTGCTTGGGTGGAGAACGTTTTGTGATAATTGACAACCAAAAATCAAAAACAAATCATCTAAAAAGCAAAATGCGTAAAATGATATCAGCAATGTGTAGACCTTGTGTAAGAAATGCTGCTCCGTGCAATGCACACTCAATATGAACGGTAGACAGACTGTTCACATACTTTTCTTTCTTTCGCAATTAAAAGCAAGCTTGACCCAAGGCAGCTTGCACTGTAGTGGTGAGTTTGAGCCCTGAATCCATTAAATTGGGTGATACCAGACTATTTTGGATTCCAAGCCTTTTTTTTTCTTTAAACGGCGTGACTTGAAACATTTGGATATAATTCATCACAAACCTTGAATTATTTGCCCAAATAAACTGGCATTAATATGCGATAAATGGTTTATTGCTCAGGTTCCAAAAATGACAAGTTTTACCTCACTTGTAATTCAGTATGCCGTCTCATGAAGAAATGCTTTTTGAACAGACCTGTCTCAGTGTATTTTGAGGATGTGCACATTTTCAGTACTCACAAATGCCGATTGCAATTTTGCATAAGCAGCTAGAGTGTGCATAGTGTTCATTTGTGGTTGGCAACATCTTTGGCACCAAAATGCATGAAAGAGAGAGTTACTTCCTCTGTTGTATTTTAGTAGTGTTTCTTAACGTTCCACGCCCACCATTCAGGTGAGATGCTGGAGATGTTGCAGGGGGACATGGAACCCAGTCATTTTCCAAACAGCGGTGTGCTCGTCAAGATGTTCTGCATCAATTCAACGTATGTTATCCTTTCTAATAACACTTACCTGCCCATACACATGGTAACCTTCAGTCTGTTATGGCCAGAACCACGGGCTCTCTAGATATTGGCAAGTAGAGATCTCAATTCAAAGGGGCCGTCATACGACACATAAACCAGTAACCATAGTGCCGCTTTTTTTTTTCATCAGTAACACACATCCCTGCCTATGAACATGGCAACATTCAGCATTCATGTACTTCAAACGATACCAAAACTGTTCCATGTCTTGTACCCGTAATTGGTAAACTGATCGATCAGATCTTTGGCTCTGCTCTATAAAAGATGACATTCATATCTTTTGGCAAGTTTGGCTGTCAAAGGTTCATCTGTGAGGGTCTTGAAAGTATTTGCATTGTACAGGTTTCATGCATCAACCCTTTTTCCAAGGCTGCCTAAAAATGGCAGGATGAAGCCGTCTTAGAGTTAATGATCATAAAATGTCAATCGGAACATGCATGGACTGCTGTCAACAAGGAGTGCGTTGCATACATTTGTGACTGAACTTGGGGTTTGGCCAAAGAGAATGCCACCTTTAACCCTAACACTCCTCAGTCCTCCAACAGGTGAAGGATTGAGGAGTGTTAGGGTTAATACTTGCTTCCCACTTTGCACACAAACTCCTTGATGGTTCCAGTTTCTGGTGGAATTTGTTGTTTCCCTTCCCCCTCCCCCCCACAGATCGGTGCAAGATCTACAGGTTCGCTTTCAGCCCAACTCTTCCGTGGAACATGGCAACATGGCCGGCTCAGTCAGTTCAGCCTCGCAGGATGACTATGGTTGGTTCCGAATATGATGCTTACCTTGGAAAGCAGCTTTTCAGAAAACTTTTTTTAATGTCATTGGGATAGTTACGACACTTCAGACTGGTTGCTGTCTTCCAAAAGTGTACCAGGGGAAACAGGAACCAGACCAGTCTGTAACAAATGGAACTTGAACTCTACATGTATGTTAATGAAAATCGTCAAGGGATATGAATCTACCAAAAAAGGGGAAAAATATCTCAGGAAAGTAACTGTAGGATTTGATTTTCAAAAATGGGGAAAAAAATGGAAAATAAGTTGAGAACAGAGCTCAAATCTAGGTTCGCATGCTTAATGAGCAGCGTGGAAACATGTACTTATCAAATTAGCTGCCCCAGGATCTGAACTGCCCAAAGACGTCAGTGGAAACCTTGTATTGATTAGCAGAGATTCTTGAACAATGCTGAAACTACAGAGTTTAGAAGTCCCATTACAACTTCCATTACTGTCGCCACAACATTGATTGAAGTTCTCTAATTCATTCTGACCTTACGTGAAAGACACGCCATCCATGTTGACCTGTTACCATCATCATTGTTGTTTTTGTCTGGCACTGTAAAATTAAAGTACTTGTCGTCAACAATTTGTTAAAACTTCGAAATGCTGAAGTTGCAAGGACTAAGATTTTTCAAACCCCAAAAAGTGATACCAATGCCCCTTTTGACATTGTATTTTAAAAGCACACTTGCATGAGGTTCTAAGATTAATTCTTGAGCAGAGAGATTAATTCTTGAGCAGTAAACAGTGAGACTGAATTGTGAGTTTATATATATACAGCCCTGCAGGATGGTCTGTCAGACATGAGCATGAACGACACCGACCGCTCAGCTGGGACAGATGTGGATAGGGTCTCGGCTGTCCGCCAGGCCAGCTCACTGACCCCCGGCGGGTCCTTGACCAGCTCCTTCACGTCCGAGTCCACCAATCCATCAACCTCGCCAGGCCAGCCCTACCTAATGACACCTGAAGCCATTAAATCTAGCAGTGCCAAGACCTTGGCCGAACACCTGCGGGAGAGCAACTCTAGTGCCAGCAGCTTCACCCAGGTCTCGGCCCTGAATACCTCGGCCGACGACCTCCTGACAGGCTCCCACCACTCTGGGGAGAACAGCACTCCGACCCCCAGGACCCTCACCCCAGTCTCTAGCCTCCCGGCCACACCTAAGTCGCCTCAGAGGCCTGACCGCTCAGCCACTCCACCCCAAGTAGATGCTGCTCTTGCCCGGGAGAAGGATGAAGACGGTTCAGCGGAGGACGACGAAGGACCCAAATCCCCTCCCCCGACCCCAACTGAACTGGCTTCCCCCGAGCTGATTGCTCGGTCCGCGGCCAGCACGGATGACTTGGTGGAACTCCTGGAGAATGCACGGATGAAGGAGAAGCGGATCTCGGACTCAAGTGCGGAGGTGGCGCATATCCTCCAAGGGCATCTTGGGCAAGACGGAGATCAGGAGGCAGAAGTGGAAGACGACCAGGGGAGAGAAGACGAAGAAGATGAGAAAGAAGACGATGATGTGGAGTCCAAGGCTATCCCCGTCACTGTGGATTCCATCGCATTTGCAGATGCAGTGAAACAGTTGGTTGACCCAGTGCAGGTGACTCAACCTCCCAGCAGCCTGATTGAGATGCATGGAGAGGATGCCAGTGGAGTGACCCAAGGGAGGGAGGTGGTTGTCATCAGCCCCAAGCAAGAAAAGCTGGGGTGAGTCTCCCATAAGATGGGGTTGTTCCTTTCATACCTCAACCATTTTTTACTGAATCTGGTTAACTTTATTTCCTAGTTTCTTCCCCAAACTCCTCCAAACGTACATGTAACTATTGAAGTGAACATATCCAGCTGTAGAAAGGAAGGTGATTTTGCACTGCTGTCATCTTGCATCTACATGTAACCCTGTGATTTGTGCGACTGATTTGCCCGTTTTCTGAAGGAATTGTCCAGATTTTAGGAATTTTTGTTTCCAGAAAGTTCTGGATTTTTGTTTTAGAATTAATCATTCAGGATTTGCTACTTATTTGCTCTGTGTACACAAAGCCAAGTGAAATTTCGCGTAATTCTAGAACTGCTGCCTTCTTGTTTGCTGTTTTAAAACCTTGAGAATTGAGTATTTTATTACTGTCGTTTTGACACACCCCCCCTTTTGTTTGTTTTGTGGATTTTGTTTTCATTCCCCGTTGCCACCCCTGACTGCGACGTTGAGATCCTTTCATGTAATTTGTTCCAATGCCTTGCTGCAGAGTCACAGCCTCCGAGGAGGCCCCAGGTGGTGAGGGAATACCCACCCCGACCCAGGGGGAAGAGGGGGAGACAGCTGAGACCCCACAGTCAGGGGACGAGAGCAGGGAGCAGCAAGTTGGAGGAGCCATGGCCCCAGTGCCTCAGCAGCTCCTGGAGGTTCAAGAGCAGGAGTCGCGCAGTGAGCACAGGTGAAAGCTGCTGTGGTGTGCATGCATGGGTAGAACAGGGACTTGTCACCATTTCAGCCACATGTACTGTGTATGCTAGTACCCACAAAGGAGATCTTACCCCAGAATTCAAAGAAAATCAGGATAAAATTGTTTCAACATGTTGTGGAATTTGCAGTTCTGTCTTACCCAAAACGCTTGTAGATATTAACCTGTAGGCATAAACATGACATCTGCATTAATAGCATTCCGTGGAACTAAGTTAAAAAATCTCTCCACAAGAACCTTTTTAAATTTTGTCGTTGTACTTGTCTGTTAAGTCGACAGCAAATATCTGAGCCAATGACTTGATAGGGGTTCCTTACATTAACAGTCAGGTGCTCCAGAACTTGATCGCAGTGCACAACCCTATGAAGCCTTCGCGTCTAATCTTGTGCATGTACATGGACCGTAACTCCAGAGGCATTTTTGCAAAGAACCTCCCCAAATCTTCCAAAATCTTCCACTCTCCCATAAAACCCCTGGGACAGGCCACACAACAGGTCATGCTGGCAGGGCTAAACCTCACTTGAGTCTTCCCACAAAACCTCCTTGTGAAATTCTGAGGATATAGGGAAGGTTTAATAGGGCTAAGCACTGGCCTTTCAATGTAAATGCGGATCTTTTTTTTTTGGCTTAGACCAGTGAAAGGAATATCAGTTGTCATTTGGAGGGAAAAAAAACACAGAGAATTGTAGCCATGGAGAAACTCTCTATTACACAACAGGTGGAATTTGAACCACCCAAGATGAAAGTAAAGGAAGCATCAACTTACCAACCTAAGCCAAGTTCAGTCAGCGACCATTTGTAAACCATTTGCCAATTTTGACCGGTAACCTTATACCAGGCAAGATATGGGACGGAGGGGTACCCCCGTACCTGACCAATCCCTACACACACTCTAGACTATTGTTACCTAACACATCCCCCTAGAAGTCTGTAAAAGTTCCTGAGATTCCGATCAATCAATGACCAACACAAAGGCGGGGGGGGCTTCTCTCCGTCCCATATCTTGCTTCAAATGGGTAACCTTGTGCGTGAAATTTAACCAGGTACAAGGCAAAAATTGACCAATGATTGACAACTGATCTTTGATCAAACATGGCCTAAGCTGCTCTTGCAGTAGCAGTGAATGAAAAAGATGTAAAGTCCAAGTGGAAGTTCGTGGAAAGCCCATGGTGGTCGTAATTGGGCATGTGTTCTGTTATACGTCATGGGTGTTTTTTAGTGGTTGCGGTTTTTATTTTTATCAGGGTATTCTTGATAGGGCAATGTGTATTTTATTGGGCATGATGTTCTTAACTGGGCGTTGTCTTGTCACATCTTATGTCTCCTCCATTGGGCTAGCTCTGATGTGGAACCGGCGGACTCCACTTCTCCCCCTGGGTCCAAGAGTAAAGCCAAGAAGCAGAGGCGGGACAAGTATAGCCGGTCCTCCCCACGACCCAGGAAGTCCCTGCCAACTGAGGCGGATGCCAGGCTGGACATGCCAGAGGTAGGTTATTTCTGCCTCTATTATCAACACTCACAATCTTGGAATGACGCACGTTCGTACTTGAAGCCAGGGACTGCATCCACGTAACATGCTATTAATTGCCTAGGAAGCCGCTACCTTAGCAATGAAACTGTCTTGGTCACAACTCAATTTAGACATTTTCTCATTTCTTTAAACGTTGATAAAAGTACATGTAAGTAAGGAGAACCAACCAATATCTAGAGCACCAAATTGAAGTTTAAAAAATGAAAATTTACATTTATGTATTCTCAGTGAAAGAAACAGACTAACTTCACTCCAAGATTGGCACAGTTCATTGACAATTTGTAGTTTCAACAAAAATAGTACGCACTTACAACTAAACAAAAGAGGTGGTATAACGAGAAGGATAGATCATTTCACCGATTGAGCGAGAAAAGTGGAGCACCAAAAATACAGTCTCTGGTTACCCTTAACCTGAACAGTCCAAACTTCAACAGTAGAAGGAGTCACGACTGTTGGGCCTAATGCGAAATTATCTGATGTCAGACCCAGTAGGAAACACTGGTTTCCTGGTTTTATTATAGGCTGTGGAGCATAGCACAGTGAGAACGTGACGCAGACCTTTGTGTCACGAGGCACAGGTGCAAACCTTTACAGTACAGAAAATTATGGTGGAACACGCTGTGATCCTCTGTCATTTTGGTAAAGAGTACTCTAATGCATAGAGCTGGTGCCCACCACCTGCACAGATCATAAGGTGCAGAACAGAGCACTAATGGTATCATTTACATGCAAAACTTGAATATAGATCACTAACGTAGACTACTGCCACCGAATGAAGTGACTAAGCACAAAGCTACAGACCTCTGTTGCATTGAACTCTTGCTTGAAGCACAGAGGTGTTCCACATCTTGGCTTTGTCCCTGTCCTTCTTTTAGCTCTCATTCTTGACTTCCAGTTCCATGAAAAATTCAGTTTTGCTACTGCAGCATCAGACTATGCTCTACCAACCTAAAGCTTGATATACATGTATGCTACCGGCCCCCAGAAATTCCAGTTATTGATGCCAGCGCTAAAGGCCTGTTCATACTTGGTGGAAAACTAATACAAATGGAATTTTGTAGTTTAGGAGCAACCCTTTGCTGTGTGAATTCACAAACGTTGCACACATTGTAACTCAAGCAAATCTCTCTGCAGACTCTTGATATAAAAATTGGCTTCACCTTCACATAAGCCTGAAGTATGAAAGAGCTTTCAATGTACAACTGGAGCACGTATTGCCAGAACTGCATGACGCAACACTATCAACATTGCCTCCCCTCTAATTTGGTAAACCCCTCCCCCCCACAGATTAATAACACGCTGCAGCAGGTGCTAAACCTGCTGCAGTCGCAGCAGCAGGAGCTGAAGCAGATGAAGCAGGACATTGCCAAGTCGCAGCCGGCCAACAGCATCATTCAGTCCATGCGGTCGCGCATCGACAAGCTGGACAAGAGCCTGTGTACCAAGCTGGAGACCAGCATGGCCAAACAGTCGGAGCAGGAGCGTATCCTTTGAGTGGTAATGCAGTGGTCAGTCCAGCTGCCAGTTAAGGTCTGTCCTCCAAAATACAAAAGATGGAAAGCTCAATAACTTTGACAGGATTGAACTGCGCACACTTGTCGGCTTTTGGAATTCACTCCTCGAAGCAAACTTGATTTAAATCAATACAGTATTTAAGGATTTAACTTAGATTTCTCGCCTGAATTTCATTTTGTTCAATGGTGTCCCTTACGTTCTAAAATAAAGATGTACATGGTCAAGTAACGCTCTGCCTCTGAATAGTAGAAAAGTCCAAAGTTGTTTCCTTAGCAACCTGTGACTTTGCAGGTCAGAGATTAAACACTGCCATGCAGGAGAGGCAGTCATTGGACAAGCAGAAGCAGGAGCGTCTGCTGGAGTGCGTCTCTCAGAATCTCAACAAATCAGTCAACAGTCGTCTGGACAAGACAGTGCGCACTGAGATTGAGAACAAGGTGGTGCCAGGTATGGTGGTGGTCACATTTTGGTTGCTTTTCATCCACCCATTCGTGCAAGCGTATCAGTAATTGCCAAGAAATTCCAATGACTGTTTTTCCTGGAGCACAACTTTTTAATGAAACTTGATACAGTCGAACCGCATTAATAAGAGATCCTTCGGACCGTGTTATAACAGGAACCTTGTATTATCAGGAATAAAAAACAACACAAAACATAGGATTGAGATCTAAAAGGTTCTTTGTTATGACCAGACCTTGTATTAACAGTGCTCTTATTAACGAGGCTCAACTGTAGTGTGTTTCATAAGAGGTACATGCAAATAAGGGGTCAGTATATTGCAATTTTAAACTTACTTCAGTGTGAGAGGTTGGTTTGTCAGCTTTTATACCATAATTTCATTGCCTCTGCTATCTATAACTGAACATCTTAGAATCACAGTGCTATGTTTTTACATTCCAGGAAGGCTCTGTGCTTCAGGCCACTGCTTGCATTACACAAGTACCCAGAATGTTCTTTTTAGGATTTGCCCCATCTCTAAAACTGTAACTTCTTCCCATTGTCTTCTTCAAGCTTTTTCAGGCTTGCAAGCTACAGTGCGCATAGGGGATTTTTGAGGAATCCCGTCTTTCGTTACCAGAAATGTGTAATAATTACACTGATTTTTGTCCACAGAAATAGGAAAGCTGATTGCACCAATGAGCGAGCAGCTGAGTACTGTCGTTTCCCAGAAACTCACTGCCACAGACCAGCTGATGAGGGAGAACATCGGCAAGCTAGTCAGATCCAAGGTAGGCTTGAAATTCTCTCTCTAACCCTCACTGGGCCAACTTTACATTTCTAGTGTGGACCCTGTGAACAAAAGATGTCCATGTAGTGGAAGTTAGGCAAAATGTAGTTGGACTGAGCGAGGTCCACCCTAAAAGAGCCAGGTTATTTTGGACCATCTCACAGCCGGGGTTGGGGGAGGGATTCCCAAAGAACTTGACAGTCCCACAGCAGATTATTTTTAATACCTAGCATTCATGTCGAGATTCTCCTTATCAGTGAAGTTTTCAACTTAATTCGGCACACGATTTGTTGTTACAGTTATTTGAAGTTCAATGCCCCATGCATGCTGGCCAGCACGGGTTAATTGATCACAACAAGAATACAAACCAGTAGAAATTCTTGTTCCATGCATTCCAAGTGTTGATCTTAGTTTTGTGTGGAAATGCTGTTTCAGAGTACCACAGAGGCCCTGGGGCAGTCGGCCGCCAATGCACTGAGCAACACAATCCAGACAACATACCGGGAAGCCTTCAGGACAAGCGTGGTGCCAGCCTTTGAGCAGTCCTGCCAGTCCCTCTTCATGCAAGTCAACACAGCCTTTGAGGCTGGAACCAGACAATGTGAGTGCGAACCAGGCATCTTGTGGTTTTCCTCTCTCTGTCATTTTGCACTTTGGATTTCTATCAGTCATGTCAAGCGCCATGTGGAGTTTTTACTTGAGTTTGTGTCAAATCAAAAGTTAGTCATTGAACACATGTCCTAAAAATATGACTTCTTTCAGTTGTTTGTAAATGATTAAACAAATTAATGCATTCATTGAGTAATTTTCATTGTGTGCTGATTTATTGTTGCAGCATGCAAGTTTTCGTGGTCCTGCAGGCAGGTTACTCATTTATTTTAGTGTCTTTGACCGAGGCGTTTTTTTTCTTGAAACCTGCCCCGATTTCTCCAGAATCTACTGCTTTGCAGGAAATTATTGGCACATTGTTTGTTTGAGAAGCAGTGTTATCTACCTTTGCTGAGTTTGATTCCTACCGGTTCATATCCAAGTTGAAGTCCAAAAACTCAGTGTGAGTCCTTCAAATATTGTACTTGTGCACTGAAAAGACCTCATGAATAATGAATGGTCATGGATTAGGTGCACAGTTGGCAGAATTACCGGTGGGTCCCATTAATTGGTAAACACAAGTTTTCTTGAGAACAAACAATGGGAACAAGATTACCGAATGAGGACGGATACTCTAAGTGTTTTAAAGTACCAAAAGAGTTTTTCTTTACCTAGCATTTTACCAAAAAATCTCCAATTGTTTTACAAAGAATACAATTAACATTAAACTGAAATGTGTTCTGAAAGAAATAACCATATCAGAGCATAAGTCATGGTTCTCCTTGCAAGAATGCTTTTAGGAAAGAATTCCTCTGGTTGAAAATAAGACGGAGGTATTGTTTTTGTTTTTCAACCGTTTGCTTCTTCGAAGTTGGGAGGTTGCTTAGGATAAAAAAGGGACTCATGCCAGACTTTGGCTAATACCTTGTGTGTTTTACCAAGATCAAATCCAAGCTCAAAAAGGCCAGGTTCGGCTAAAAATGGACTCAAGACACTGAGTTGAACTTTTGAAAGCCACCATGTTTCCGCACAAATTAATGGTGGCTTCGTTCTACTTCCCTGAACCCTGCAAAATCTTGCAGAATCATGATGGATAATGGAAGATCTAGGTGGGTTGGGGTAAACCTGTTCAAAAACATAACACCTTACCGACTTGAATTCTAGAGAAGTGTCCACCATCCAGAACATCCAAGTCTTGTCCCTAATTTCTCTGGATCTTTTGAAATCCAACAGGAGGTTGTGAAGGATATTGAAGGACGGTGGAAGGACACTGCTCAGCCACTGTCCTTTAACCTTGGGGTATGATGTTGCTCTATGGTAGCAGTGCAAACCAAGTGAATGATTTTGGAGGAGTCAGGGATTTTGGTCCCCCACAAAAAAGAATTGAAAGATTCTGTGCTGAAAAACCTCTTCCCACAGACACTCAACAATTGGAGTCACACCTCAACAAGCAGAGACAGCAGGAGCGGGAATCCCGAGACCCCATCGTGGCTGAGCTTGTATCCCTCGCGGAGGAGTTCAAGGCCAGCTCCCAGACACTCAAGGAGAGCATCCTCAGCAGTGTGAATGATGAGGTCGAGAAACAACTCCAGAAGGCCAATGAGAAGTATGTATCGACATAGAAAAACGAGTGGAGACTGTAGGATCATCTGAGGAGATGCCATTAGTGCTGTGGCATTTTCTTCTCCGTATGCGCATCACATGTGTTCATATACTTGGGGCTTCCCATGCACTTTGTCAAGTTAAAAAAGAATTAAAAAGGGAAAAATTGGACGACATATATTGGGTTGCAAAGTTGCATTCTAAGAGCATACATGTATGTGAAGATGTTCCATGTAAAGTTCAAGGCAATTGAATGAACGTGACTAAGAACGTGCCAAAATATGATTCTTCAAGTTTTTCTCTTTTTTTACTGTTGGGAATTGGTCATAATGCATTTACTGAAGGTCTAACATTTAGGCTGTCCATGATCCAAATTGATTTGGCCTTAACGGACCTTTTGATGTAAAATGAGAAGTGTCTTTCACCAGGCTTGAGGAGGACCTCTTGGGCAAGGTACGCAAGCTCCTGAAAGAGGAGCTGCAGAACGCCCTGCGCGACCACCAGAGCCGGGTGGAGAGCAGTATCACAGCGGCCGTTGTGCGCTCCCAAGCTCCTACCCCAGTGCCCCAGGGCCCAGACATCCGGCAGGTCCAGAGCCAGATCACCCAATTGCTGCAGCAGGGCCACATCATTCAAGCCTTCCAGAGCGTAAGTTCCTTGCCTGCATGCACGGGCAGGAGAACAGTGTTGTATTTGTAGTGACCACTCCTGAGTCCGTGTCCAAAACAACTTAGCCTGAGTCCTTTTCTATAAACCAAATTCTCTTGTACATTAAGGAAAAGCAACATGATTAATGAATGGCGTGCATTGGGTACACACAATACAGAAACAGGGTCCCAAAGAATTCTTTCCACAGGTTGGAAATGATACAAAGCATGGGCATTGTCAGGTTTTTTTGCCGGGGGGGGGGAGAATGGGACTTGCTCCAAGGGAAGCAAACGTCAGTAGCAAACTGATGAACCATTAGTGGTGGAAAGAGGAAATCATTGAGGAGTTTTCATGCAAATTGGGGATTTTCATTGCCTTTTCTCTTTTTCATTTCTTTTGCTTTTTGTTTCCTTTTTAATTTTTTTTTTTACAATTCAGAGGTGTAGTTTCCCAATAATTTGCTTATTTTTACCTTGAAACGGTGCTGAGTATAATAAAATGGTCAGTTTTGGGTGGACTGGACTTTGGTGCTGGCCTGGGGCCTAGTCCTCAAGTGTTTTGGCCTGGGTCAGTCATAAACTGGGCTGGAGTTTGGACTATAACACTACCGGCAAGTGTTTAGTCACGCTATCATGGGCCACAAGTTTTTTCTGTCATTTGCCAAAAGCACGTAAACCATACATTCGAGTTACGTTTGTTGCCATGGATGCTTTCTGTTTGTTGTCATCCAAATGCTGTAGCCTTTGGTAGCATTTGGTGAGATAAATTTGAATAAAATGTGTTACACTGAGTTCTTGAAATTCACACGAACATAACCATTTGAATTCTCCATACTTACAACACTATTGCTACACCTAGTCATTCAGGGCAAGCTTTTTCCTAGTTATTTAAGAGATGCCTTGCGCCAATACAATGTTTTCAAAGGGCACAAAGGAACCAGTCTGTTCCAGGGATGGTGGTCGCAAAAAGCTTGCCCCGAATCATGAAGTATAGCGACTGTGTCGTTAGTCTGAGGAATTTAAATTCTTATGTTTATGTGCGATCAGATAACTCAGTGTACCGGATTTAATTCTAATTTAATATACAAAAGGATTATTTCTAGATGGAGAATGAAACGATATTCCCATGGGTTTTCCCCGTGTGCTGCATTTCTTTGGAATTCCGTGCTTGGTTGCTGTCCCCTTCCCCCAACTTACATCTGTCCTGTCTTAAGAGGAATTTAAACTCCTACTTTCACATTTTCTGAAGTACCCTCTCTTGTTGCTTTTGAAGCCTTGTACCCAGAGTGGTTATTTAGCCTCATTCAGGGTAATCTTGCATGATGACCCTTTAAGCATATCCTTCATATTTCATCAGGCTCTGAGTGCCTCAGACCTACGTGCTGTTCTCTTCGTATGCAATGCCGTCAATCCTGACCAGCTGTTTGGTGGCCAGTGCCCGCTGGACCAACCTGTCCTCCTCTCACTCATTCAACAGCTGTCCCATGACATTGGCACCAACACCAAGCTCAAGCTGCGGTGAGTGGCTCATTCAAAGGACCCATATTTGTATCAGTGCACAGCCCGGAATGTTGGAAATTTGCTTACCAGTGGTGAAATGTCTTTGTATTCCCTTTGTATTTGGCACGATAAGATGGCTGCCAGTGGCTTCAATGACTTTTACTAGATTAGAATTTTTCTATGAAGTTCATCGGACCTACCACCTAGGAGACTGATACTCCCTTAAAAAGTTCATTAATGCAGCAAACACTTGGCACAAGACAGCTACCCTATCAGCTAGGAAGACCAAACAGAAAAGGAAGAAGTGATTAGGAGGTCTGCCCCCTCCCAGATTGACCATTACTAAAAGCCCTGTGAACCTTTCAGCAAGGTTACTGAGTGCCCGTTGTCATATCCCCTCATTGAACTGTACCCCCTAATGCCACTTAGTTGCTTCTAAGGTCTAGCACCACCCAGTGTCATTTTCTTTTTTCGTTCGCCCCTAGATACATCGACGAGGCACTATTGGTTCTTGATGAGGACAAGACCACTACCCAGTACAGCGAACATTTGCCCATCGTCATTGGCGATCTCTGCAAACACATCACCGCCTTCCTGCAGCAGCACCCTAGCCACCCCAGCACCAAACAGATGAAACGTGTGCTTGCGCTTGCCAACAGCCTGATGTAACCGGGGCAAGGAGAAAAACAAGAGCTCCCAGATGTGGGTTCTTTTAATGTTTACACAGCCAAGATTAGCAACTTGTTCTGCGCCAAATCAAGGCATGGACGACAAGTAGTTAATGATATGTTACCCTTATTTCCTGAAACTCAGAATATCTGGAAGTACTCTGAAGTAATGAACATGTTTTATGAAAACATCTTTGTATAATAGACTTCTTGTTGACTTTTTGCATATTGAAATTTCGTTAGGGAAAAAAGGGGCAAAAGCATATTTATCTGAAAGGCATCACTCTAAGTTTGTTGATATTCTAATCTGGCATAGTTTGTGTTCCAACTTATAAGCTTCACTACATCATTTGAATAGCATAACCATCTAGCTTTGATTATTGTACATATTTTGAAAGCTCCTCATAACGGTTTTTTAACTTCCTTTTTTTTGTCCTGTGTACCACTTGTACAACATTTCTCATTGAAAAGGGAGCTGGACAAGGTAACAGTTATGTGTAGACACAACATAGGCTTATCTTTAATCATCTGTGTTCAATTTCCATTTTCCGAGGGTTATCGGCTTTCAAGCTATGATTTTTCCCTGAGTCTGTTCTCTGCTAAATTTTCATTTTATTTGATTAAATGTTTTAGAAAAGTTGCATTTTTGCCCACTGTAGGTTCACCTGTAAAATCAAGCGCCTGTTACTTTATAAAATGTTGCTAATTGTTTGAAACTGCACTGTCCAGGTAATTATTTGTCAGATCTGAATAGGACAAGTAACACGTGCTTTCTACAAGGTCAGCTTTTTCAAGTGTGAAGATCTTGAAAATTCCTCAGAAACTTTTGAATGCCTCTGTCACACTGGGAAAAAAGTGCAAAACACTTGAACTTTAAGCATTCAGCAAACGAAATCTAGAAACCTCGTTAAAACACTGAAGAATTTAACTTTGGAAAAAAAAAGGATGTCAAAAGGATTTCACTGAATAGCCCAGAAAAGTAGCCAGAATTTAAATGGGAACCTTGAGTAACATCCAGAACTGGTGCAGAAGACCTTGTGATATTGTTTCATCTTTTAAGGTGCACTTTAAACGCTCTATTTCACTTCATGCAAAAAAACCCAGCATGGCCATAGAACTTTTTTTTTAAATTAAGCTGACGGACTTACCAGCAACTAAGCATGAAGACCATAAGTAACATCTGCAACAGGCAAGAGAAGGCCTTTTAATATTGTTTCTGTTGATGCACACTTGGTGTGGTGTTGATAGTTGTATAAACCCCTCCCGTTTAACGAAATATAACAGTTCAGTTTGAAATGAGTCCGAGTTTGGTGGTTTAGCTGACTGAATGTTTTGATGAGTTACCAGAATGAGTAGGACACCCACATGCAAGGATGTTCAAATGTTTTTGCAGAATACTCGGTCGGCCAAGTTAGCGTTCTTTCCTGACTCCTCTTGCAAAGACTCTGAACATTTTCTGCATTTTTTTTTAAATACTCAGTGCCCGACCCGCAGTCAAAAGACAACTATACTCCGACCACATTCTTAACGGGACCCATTTGCACTTTAGAGTGTACCTGTCAGAAAAAAGGTGCTACTTTGAAACTCTTGCATTGCCATGTACAAGAAAAGAACGGGATGGGTGTAGTTACGGCTTGTCAAATGTGACAGATGGAAGAAGGAAAACTCGACCAAACACTTCATTGGAAACCACTTTCATATTTAGACGTCAATTAGTTGGTAGCCTGAAACGGAATTCCGGAATGACATTGATGTACAAGGTAACATTGTTCCGAAATTGAAGGCACTTTCAATGTAATTGTATGTAGACTTATTCTACACTAAAGTTTGGGCTTAAAGTGTCAGCTGCTCAAGCGGAACAAATTCCAGGCTTTCTCAGCCGATTTCAGCAAAGTGACGATCAATTTCACACAAGGCCCATTTAAATTCATTTTGAAATGAATGCACTTTCATATGAACATGGGTCAAGTCAAATCAAGAGTCTTTATTACATCCCACTTGGGTAACTAAAATGCTCGCATCCAGAATAAGTACTAGAACAGCTACATGCACAATTACAAGAAAATACAAAGACAGTTAAAACTATCAATCATTCTGTACACTATATGTAGAAATAAGTATTAATTATATAACTCCTAAAATATATACCTAATCTCAATTCATTCTGCAGTTAACTCCAATGTAACTCCTAAAACGTATACCTAACCTCAGTCCACCTATGTAAAATCTGCTTTTCCGGTATCACAAAAGTAGAAAAGTTAAATTCACGGTTGGCGTCAAAATGTTCGATCCAAATTTCTGCCTGCTGGAAAGCAGAAAAGCAGATGGCCGCTTTTCGGCCGCCAGCTGATGAAGAAAAAGTAAAATCTGCTTTTCTTGAAGCAGGAAAGCAGATAAATAGAAAAATGCATAACCAAACAATGTTCGTTCTGCTTCTTGAGTTGGCAGAAAAGTAGAAAAGTCATAACATAAAATCTGCTTTGCTACCATTCTGATAGCAGAAAAGCAAATGGCCACTTTTGGTCCTCCATACTGATGGGAAAATGGAAGTATTATCCCTTCGGTTTTAACATATGGGAAATTTGACTGATTTTGACTGATATGACAAAAACTGTATCAAGAATGCATCTTAGCATAGGAGGGTTAATGCGAAGAGGCACACTGATGTATTCACATCAACATTTCACACAACTGAAAATACGACAATTTAAGGTCTACAATGTTGCAAATGTATTATAACATGACAGGAAGAGAGCTTGTTCAACCATATATTTATAGAGAAGGAATTTGCTGTAGAGAGGTTCTCCGAAAGGACAATGTATCTGAAGAGCTATACACCGCAGATCAGATCCACAACACAACACGTGATTTAGTAGACCAGTCTAGACGTGGTCCGGGAACTTGCCCACGTTTGCGCGTTCATTTAAAAATAGAGAAGAGAAGCTGTCAGCGAGAACATTTAATGTTGACGACCATTGTTTGTGTTAATGTATATTTTGCTACTTGAAGCATCAACGAATAGCGTTTTGATTACTTGGCCTTTACACAGCAACAGTCTGTGCAGTAAGGTTAATGACTTTGTTATCTCCTTAACATGAAAAGCGAGAAGCAGTATCTCTTCAATGGCCGAGTGGTTAAGCTTGTGGCTATTAAATCGTAAGTGCATGGGTTCGAATCCTGGGGTGGCTTTTTATTTTTCCCAACGCTTGCTGTCAGTAAGTAGCTATAAGAGAGAATCTAATTCACCCCCATCAAATACCAACAGTACCTTAGCTAACCGGGTAAGCTCTTATGTTGGGACTATCCGCACTGATGTATTCACGTTAACATTTCACACAGCTGAAAATACGACAACTTAAGGTCCACAATGTTCAAAATGAATTATAACATGGCAGGAAAAGTGCTCACTTTTCAACTACGTATAGAGAAGTAATTTCCTGTAAAGGGGCACCATTCACAGGAAATCATGGCAAGGTGTCTGAAGAACTACACCACAGATCAGATCCACCACATAAGATAACGTGTAGTTTTGCTACGTGATGCGCTATTTGTAGCGTTTTGGTCATTCAGTCTTTACACAGAAACATTCTGTAGAGTAATAAGGTTAGTTCTTTTGTTATATCCGTAATAGGAACAGCGAAAAGCAACTTCTTTGAAATGGCCAAATGGTTAAGGTGGCGGTTTTCAGATCGATAGTCGGCGTGTTCGAATCCCAGCGGCAGTTTTTCATTTTCCCAACGCTTGCTGTCAGTCAGTAGCTATAAGAGACGTTAAATTCACCCCGTCAAATACCACCAGTACCTTAGCCTACCGGGTAAGCTCTTCTGTTGGGACTGTCCGCGAAGTCCAGGTGAGCGCCTTAGTACAGGTTCGAGACGTATGGCCGACTCGGCGGCCAGGACTTAGGGGCCTGTCTCGTTTCCTCCCTTGCATTTTCGCTCGAATCCTTTTTAGGGTTAAATGGATGGGCAGGGAGGAAGTGCGGTGGGCCGGGAACCCAGAAGAGTCCTATATGGAAGCCGGTAACTGCGATTCCTAGCGAATTTCAGGAGTCCGTGCGCCTGAATGCTTGGTCAACACCGCATAACTTTTGGATTTTTCCCCCTCACCTAATTTTTTTCATTCGCCTGGGCGCAGAACAAACAAGGCAATTTTTTAGGTATGAATACAGTGAGCTAAAGGATTGATGCTGATTTATTTTCATTTATAACCTTAATTTCCTAAATTTTCGACAATGAAAGCTACCCCAACCGTGTTTGTGTTCATTTCTTCTAAGTGATCTCAGTGTGAAACCTGTGTATGAGGCGTATAGTGAATATTTGTTATCAATAACTCAACAGTAACACATCCAGGGTTGGGCGCAGTCGGATGGCACTCGCCTCCCTATTTTTATTGTTGGAAATACATTTTCATTTGTTATGACAACAAACTTCGTTTGCTCTCAACTGCAGAATAATCTGGCATTTTCAAAGAGAAATTCTCACAAAAAAATACGCCCCCTATCTTCTTGGGTCACCCAACGTTGCAACTGCTGCTTGTTCTTGTGATTGGTTGGTCCATCACTGGCCTATCAGGTCTGCCCGAAAAATATATGCACGAAAATGATCAAATCAACTCAAAAGACACAAACAATCCCTGTGGGAATTCTAACAAAAGAAAATGACATCGAGAATGCAACGGATGTCAAATTAGTAAAACTTTTGCTTTTTTATCCCATACTCGCCGCAAAAGGTGCATCGCCCATTCAGCCCCCCCCCAAACCACGTTACATTTCATTTTGATCTGACTAGAATTTAATGTTGTCATATTGGTTAATCCGTGCCTCATCGGCCATAAGTTTAATATTGGGATTTGGAGTTACAAAAATTCACCATTACTGTTTTGTTTTTTCGGGGGGGGGGGCAAGGGGGCGTCCGGAATTGGGAGGGGGACGCCACTGTCTCAGTGTCAAAAGGTTGAAGAATTAGGAACACTGAGCTGATAATGCAAACCATACTGTGCATATATTTATCTGAGACGTGCAAAGACAAAAATACATTTCTTCTCCATCACTGAACAGAGCGCGTCGCACGTCTTCAAATACGGCGCTCGCGTGCGGTGTCTAAGGATGCGGCATTTGAATACGGTCACACACCAACCTCGTTTGCATGGGTTCGATCTTGCAAAGCAATGTTGGTTCCCACCATGCCTTGCGCGATCTAGTGAAGGAACGTGCATGCAGCCCATGGAGTCGAGGATGGTCACCATTGATCCCCATCATACAATGGAGATCAATGATGGTCACACACGGTTTTATGTCTGTGGATACGGTCGATTCACAGCAATGCGTCCCCAAGAGTTTTGAACGTGTGGGCCAATCGCAATACTCGTAGGCGAAATCTGAGCTGTCGACCTAATGCGCGTTGGGAAAGGCACTTTTAATGCATTATGCGTCCGGCCAGAAAAGGACAAAACTTTTGATCTTTGTTAATTTTTTACTTCATTTAAAAGTACATTTACAACAAAATCCAAATGAGGCAAGCCATTTGAAAATCATACACGGTATTTCCTAAGCCTCAAAATTTCAGTAACCACTGCCATATAATTCTGTTCTCAGTCGTTGTGCTGTCTTCACTTCGATATTTTTTTAAAGGTTTCCCAAGCCAGAGTTGACTGATCATGATTGTGATAACAGATTTTCAGTAGTTCACATGAAAAATAATAAAATGCAGTGCGACAGTATCTTAACTTGCCATGCATGTATATTATTCCATGAATCTTTTTTGCTAATAAAAAAGATATTGCAGCAAGATTGTTTTTGATACAAGATCTTTTCTTGTTCATTTCCTTTTGTATAGTTTTGAACAGAAGTAAAGTTTAGCTGGTTATCTGCAACAGTTATAACTTACAGATTTTATCATAGGTGTGTGTTTGTCTTTTGAGGGTCTTCATCAGTCTCTACTTTAATTTAAAAAAAAATCTGTGTGCGTGATCTCTGGTTGCTAATTAATGTTTTTAACCTTTTAATGTTATAAATTCACATAACATTTGGCCCTTAGGCCAACAGTTGTGAAAAAAACCCAATCAAATACATTGCCAAATTAAAAACAAAATTTGCCTTAGCTTTCCAACTGGCTTTGTATTTTGCCAATGGGTGGGAGTGTATTTATTCCAAATGATACTGTTAGAGACGTTTCAAAAAGATCCGTGTGAGTATTGGTGGATTCAATTTGCAATAGTCTGCCTGTGTACGTGTGTCACCAAACCACAGGTGTCCTTGAGTGGCCTGCTTGGCCAAAACTGCAAGTTGGGAAGGGGAGA